TTGTTCTTAGACTTCATATATAAAAATTAAGCATTTTAGTTATTTTATCCATAAAAATTACATAATAACGAAATATTATTTTATATAAACTAAAATAATGCCTAATACTATTTTGTCTTTCTGTGCACTAAAATTTAGATTTTATATATTAAGAAAAAATTATAGTACTTTTAACAAAATTCATATAGTTAAAGCTTTTTGGTTGCTATAACAAAAGTATTACGTTATACGAATATATCGTAATCAAATAAGAAATTTTTTATAGGAACTAAATAGTTTTGTTGGGCATATTTTAACCAAATTATTTTGTTGTTACAACAAAATTTTGGTTCACGCAATAATACATTTTTCTTAGTGTAGTAATATGCATATAAGGTAGTATTATTGACGTGACATTGTTGATCAAGATACAAATCTAACGAAGAGAAATCAATTTTAGAGTTATGCGAAATTTTTCTGCACAAACTTCAATCTCAAGTCAGATCGAATGAAAATAGATCCATAATCTAACGTAGGAATTTAAATTATTAGATTTAATCCATTAAAGGCAAATGTCACACTTAGTTTGCGAAATACCAGTTCCCATCAGACTGCAATAAAGCCAAATTTTTGACTGAATTTTTCAATCGAGTCAATAGATCACAAAAGAAGTTGATCAAATTTTAGCCGTATTTCTCTTTTACCAATAATATCGAAACGGAACATGCAAAGTATAATCAAAGTCTCAACATTGAGCAAAAGAACGATGTCTCAGTTGTTGCGCGAGTTTGAAATCGAATCGAATAGAATAGAATTGGAATTGGATCAATAACTAGACGTAGAAGAATTTCAACCAAATTTAGTCGACAGTGAAAAGTTAATAAAACTGGAATATGGTTGAATGTATGATATATTACAAATATTCTTTCAACTACCAAACCTGACCGCATTATACGAATAACTTTATCCCCGATGGAAGATTAATTCGACGTTAAATACACAGGTAAATCGTTAAATGCGATTGACAATTTATCGGACCGGATTTATAATCGCTTCATGGGAATTGAAATTCTCAATAAAAATTCCATCTTCTCTCCAAACTAAATTTTTACACAAACGAGAGATTAAAAAACATAGAAATTTTGCTGAAAGAATTAAAGTGGTTAGTTTTCTGTATACAACGCCGCAATCGAGTTCATTTAACTCGATTCGAGTTGTTCAACCTCATGTTCCTCTTTTTTTTATAATGAAATATAAGCGCAAAATATTAAAGGCAAGTGAAAGTCAATCATTTAATTTATTAAAATTTATTAAATTTTATTCAAATTTATTAAAATGTAAAATATATCAATTTTAATCGATTTTAATATTTCGATGCAATTTATCGCTCTTTCCGGCATTGCTTCTTGCTTGCCTTGAATATTTCATACAGAGTGTTTAAAAAAATTTCCACTAATTCCAAAACTTTGAGAGCAGATAATATTCACAAAATAGAGAAAAAAAGTCCTGATAAACATGGGTCAACAAATTAGTATTGTAATTAGTATTGGAGTTATGAATAATTATTTATTTTAATTAAAGCAAGTGACTTACTCGCTTCGCTACCGCGCTTTAAAAGTGTCTCTAAAAAAATTCTCTTCACTCTTGCACGACATGTAAACAAAACATCTGTTTTCTTTCTATTTATATGCATGCCTCAGAAAGCAATTGTTAGTCAGATATCCTCGGTTCAGAAAGCTGTCACAAGTTTTCACAGTACTATAAAAATGATATTTTCTCTATTCTCGACTCTAATCAAGAAGTGGCAGAAATGCATTTCACATATGGCCATATACCATATATGGCCAGAAGTGAGTAAATCACTCGTTTTAATTAAAATAAATCATTGTTGATAACTCTGACAATATTAATTTTTCGACCCATATTTATTAAGACTTTTTTCCTCCATGTTGTTAATATCTGTTACTATCTGTTCTTAAAGTCCAGAACCCTTTTTTTAAACACCCTATGTTTGCTCGTATGTCTCGTTATAGCCTATTTTCTCTACATTTCATTTTTATAAAATAGCTATAATTGTTTCATCGCAATTATTTCCTTGCAATTGCAGTCACAAGTACCAACATTTTGCCGGCAGAATAACAACTACACCGTATCGAGACAGACCCAGCTGGGCGCACCGCGATGAGTCAACGACCTGTCTCCAGCAGTCGACACCTTCGAGACACGGCAAAGTCTCGTATTTCAAATAATATTTGAGACGAATGTAAACTCGTCTCATATGTTCGTGGGACGAGACGGCACGAGACATCGGTTTACGACGTCCGTCGGAAATTGCATCGTCGGGACGGTGAATCCCGTCCGTAGAACGGACGTGGAATTGATGACGCAGGGAGAAATCGGCGCGTTACTACTGCGAGATCGCCCGGGCATTTTTCACGATCAGCTTTAATTGCCGACGGTGTACGAAGTGCAGGGAAGCGAGTGCGCCGGCAAACCGAGGGAAACGTGCGTTAATCGTAGACGGTGATTAATGCCGCTCGCGCTCTCGGGACCGCCGCGTCTCGCCTCGTCTCGCCGCGCTGCGCAGCGCGGCACTCCGGCGTTGGTCACTCCAATGAAGAGACGCGTGGAGAAACGCCGGGCACTTTAGGGGAGGCTGTAATTTGCGTTGCGGTGGTGCATACAAAGCGGCGACAATCGATACAAAACGACGGCCGAATCGGCACCACCCGCCCGCGCTTTCTTCACGCTTTCGCTCTCTTTCTCCGCTTCTCTTGTCCCTCCCCCTCTCGCGCGCGCAGGGCGTCGACGAGGACATTAATTATTATTTCTCCCTTCTCCCCTCGCCACTCACCGAGCGGCTTAAATCAGTCGACTCGGCACATAAACTGGAAACGACGGCCTCGACTGCTCGGCTGCCGCGAGCCGCGAGAACCGCCCGTTTATTCCGTTCGCTCGCTCGCTTCTCCCGCTTCCGGCTTTTCAGGCCGCGAGTCAAGTGGCCCGCGCGAGCCCGGCGAGGCGCGCGACGTCGCGAGTGTGGATCGTTAACGATCACGAAAATTAGTAACGGGGGAAAGTGAGAGAGCGAGTTGCGTCTCGAGTGGCGCGCGTTACGCGCGGGGGCGACACGCCGCGCGAGGGTAAGAGACCTCACGCACAAATCGCCGTAACCGCCGGCTCAAGACGCAAACTTAAGTTGAAGAACCACTCGGTGCACTGCTTCTTGGGATCGTTTCTTGTTTAGGGGAAGATAGAAAAGTGTAACTAGAACTCAGACTGGATATAATTAATGTTCCAATCGATCCTCGGATCCTGGTTGCTTCTGCTTAACGCTTTATATCATGACAGAACTTAAAAGTATCGCTCTACATAAATGCTCATATGGCTTATAACTTCTTCTTATCTCACTCTTTATTTCTCTCGGTACTTATAAGTACCACCTTAAAATCATTAAATTTGGCGCCAATGTTATGAAATTTACTTTTTCCTACTCCTTACGTTTATGATATGCCAAAAGTTATTTAACTGCATAAAAATGTAATAAGAAGATCTTGGATAAATTAATTCAGGATGTAAAAAATTAAAGGTCAAGAAAGGTTGTTAAGGAATTACTTCTGGTCGAACAAGTTGGTCGAAATCTTGTCAATGCTATTTCGCAGGACTCGCCGTAAGGAATCACAGGTCGAAACCGGCCAAAATGTGTAGGATAAAAACTTTTGCAGCATTTTTGTTTTGCTATTTTGCTAAGAGTCAGGAAAGATATATGTCTGTGAGGTTCGTTTCCGATAAAAACGAATCGATTTCCCTGTATTACTATCTACTCTGTAAGAACCTGGAACCCTTTTTCTAAGTACCCTATATAGGCAAATTGACAATGATTTTTCAATTATTATTAATTGATATACTTTTATATATAATTTTTTGTACTTAAACAATACTTAAACAAATTTTAAGTTTAACAAATTTTAATTTTATAAAGTTTAGTTTAGTAAAGTTTATTTTAATAAAGCAAATTCAAATTTTAAATTTAATGTTCAAGTATTAAAAAGAAATGTTTAAGTATTATTCAATTTTGCCCAACAAGCTGGAAATTTGTTAAATTGAGCAATTCATTTTTTTTTCCATTGTAAAAGTATACCGACGCTGTTGACTAACTAAAAAAGAATGCGAATTTCCAAAGAACTTTTCGGTTATAGATGGAAAATTGATTTGGAATAAGAATAGAATTCTCCATTGATGTCGTGATCAGATAACCAATTTTGCGACAAAATTAGGAATTCTAATCAGAATCTATGCTATATCCAGGATAATCCTGAGAAATTTCTACGTGAGTCTGTGAGTCTGCTTAGTCAGTCCTTTCTTCTGCAAAACTACAAAAATTGAAGACAATATCCTAATCGGGTTTCTAGCTTTAGTTTACATCAATCTTACATCTACGGTTTTTAACAATTTATGTACTGTACTATACTGGGGAGCTAACTCAGATAGGGAAAAACGGGAAAGAGAGGCAAAAATGTCAACAATATCTATGCTTTTCTCTTCGAGCTGCAAGCATTGCAGCTCCGCTCAACGTGACACGCCGGGTGCAAAGATGCGTCACAGCGAGCTCTACACTTCTAATTAAGTGTATTGCTGCGAATAAAAGTGAAATTTGCAATAAGGGTCATAAAGAACTTTTTGCCAACCAAAGCTCATTGAACAGAAAAAGAGGTATGACATCTAAATTACTCGTCTCTTTTCTTCTCATGACTGGACGCTGAATTTTGCCATAAGTTTTACAGTTTTAAAGAGTAGAGTGGTCAAATTTGAAAACTGTAAAATCTGGACAGATTAAAAAAAAACTGAAAATATAATGTGTAAAAATATATCTTCCGAAGAATGCAGTAGATAAGGAATGTTTAATAATCGAAATATTTTTAATGTCAGCTGCACAGCCGGCCACCGACGGTAAAATCCGGACTATTGAATTTGGGATGGCTAGTGCAACTCTGGTTAAGAGATATTTTTTCTCTACTCACTCCTGCGTGGTGGCCGTGCCCGGCGGTTTCTCAATCTCCGTGCTAATCGTGCCGCCGTCCGGCGTTCGTAGAGCAGCCTCCAGCGCGGCCGCCTCCTCCTCCTCCCTCAATTCCTCCGATGCCTCCTCCGGGATCGTCGTGATGTCCTCGATTGGTGGCAGCTCGTTCCCGTTCTCTTCCAGATGATTCTCCAGCATCGGATCGGAATTATTGTCGCCTGGTCGCGTCACTTCCTCGATATCGGAATCGATACCCTACGGGGTGCAAACGGGGGTGCGCCGGTATAGTCGATGCGGCCAGCCGCTTTTGTTAGCGAGAGTTTCAACCCCCAAAGACCGTCTCACGTATCTCCGCACAATGGCAGGATAATAATTTACAAAGTATCGAGATATTTCGCCGCGTGAGAAAATCTGTGCTGGCGGACAAGATCACTCGTGAGACTGTTGCATGTTACGTACAATGTTGAGCATTGAAGCAAAATTAATCGATCGTCATATTGTGAACAATTTAATCGACTGATAAATCTTTATTTCGGAAATGCAATGTCTTTTTTTATTTTTGGCAAAAGGATACCGAGTAGATTTAAAATTTGATTTAGAAAATATGACCTCAGCAGGTAATAATTAAAATAAATTGTATTACATAGGCAATTAGAAAATTAGTGAAAATAATTTTCCTCTAAAATAAGCAGATATTGTTAAATTAGCTCTAAGAACGTATTATTAAAAGACGTAGATAGATCAATTAAAATATCTTTTAATGTAATTAAAACATTCTCAGAGATATTTTATATGCCGTAATCCTCAAAAAGGAAAGTCTATAAAAAATGCTAAATGTATTATCGACATTTTTTACTAAAGTTAAACGACAGAAATGTTTTATCCTTAAAAAAGAAAGTCTAAAAAAAATTACTAAATGCATTATCGGCATTTTTACTAAAGTCAAACGATAAAATTGTTTTATCGGATTGAGCATAAATACGGATCTTCAAATGCATCACTCTAAATTATTCGATCGTTCTCATGGGCCGACTATTTTTAGGGTCGTCCCAGTTTCGAGGATATGTACGAGGATATTGAATTTGTCTTTCTTGGCATACGACTCTATATGTTGGCGCGATATTTCTGTTATTGACACGTTGCTACACTTTAATCCGATTTTAGGAAGGTCAAATATAGCCGCGAATATCCGGCGAGATTGACCCGATAGAAATTTATCGAGTCGCAATACACTCGTCCTAAATACACGCGTCCTAAAAATTATCCACTGCTACTCCACATTGAACGTCGAGGGTGCGAAGGATGATTATTGAATTTTCATCTATGCACTCTCCAATCCCGCGCGTAGTGTTTCCATATGAAAGTAAAACTTTGCAGTTTACGATTCAAATACTACATAGAGCTCGAAAATATACTGAGGAAAAATATAGGAAAAATAGAGGAATATAGATTCAGGATATTTGAAAATATATATGCAGGTAAGGTATATTTTTAAGAAAAAAATATATTTAAGAAAAAAATAATTTATATGTTAAACAAAAAATACATTAGAGAAATAAAATATACATAACAAATATATGCACAGAGGTGAGGAAAAAACTGATTATTACCATCTTACATATCTTCAAAATATAAGAGGTTTGAAAGTAAATTAACCTAGCAGAGATTACAAAATTACAGAAGCGTTCGTCTTCTGACGCTTTTTTCGTTTTTTATTTTGTCGAATCTCAACAATATATCTTAATGGCAAGGCATATTCAAGATAGTAATAGTCATTGCTATATAAAACATAAAATATACAGACAAGAAATAAAAAATACATATAACAAAATTTATATAAAAAATATATACTTAAGAGATATTTAAGAAAAAATCGACAAACAATTTAAATAAATACGTGTTTAGTTAAAATTTTGTACAGTTTGTATAAAAACTAAAGAAAAAAATTTTTTTAATTAAAAAACGAACATTAAAATTACAAAAATTAAATATTTTTGTTATTAGAAACTTAACTAACAAATTAATTAAAATCACAGCTTGCATGAAGAACTAAAAAAATACTTTTAATTATAAAAATAAAGATTAAAATAACTTATTAAAATAATTATTTCAATTATATCCATTTTTATTTGAAGTTTGTTTTATATATAAATTTGACTTTTTAATTGATTTATAAAATCATTCTTTGACCACGTAACTAAAAGTTGCAGAATTTATATATTACATCCTCGAAATTAAAATTATAGAAATAAAACATTTTCGTTTTCAAAATTTCATTAAAAAGTAACCAACTATTAAACAATAATCTGTTTTTTAATTAAAACAAAAAATAGATGTAGGTAGGAAGAAAAAAATAAACTGCTTTTAATAGACTTTAAGAATAATAATTATAAATATAGTTTTCTTTGGAAATTCTTAAATTATACCGTTACAATACAGGCAATAAGTAGCACGATTTAAGAGACTAATCGTGTTTCTCCAATTATGTTTGTAAAGTATACACAGAATAAGATTATATCCAAACTATGCTATGTAAATACGTCAATTTTGATGTAGTCTAAAAATTACAAGCAGCTAAATCAATGTACTTTTTGAAACTTTCGAAAGGTCTTGTGTAAATGTGAACAAAACTTTATTTCAAAATTAAAAGAAAACCTTTTTTTAACAAGACGGTTTCGTACATAAACACTCATTCCCCTCTTTAACTTAATAGCGATAACTTTATAGCGATAGATGAACCTCGCATAGATGGCGCTAGGCCTTCGGGTTCTATGAAATATGAAGATGAATGTATGAATGTGTTTGACCGAAATATATCAAGAGGTCCAGCGAAAGTAAAAAGAATTATCACGCCGGTTTACGTACGTAAGTGAGAACATACAGAGCATACATTATATAAATAAGTGAGCTCAGCAGCGGCGATCCGGAAGTCGCGATCCGCGCTAACTACGTAATTCTCGTCGGCGCTGCCCCTGAAATCTTTGCGAGTAATTACCCCCGGCACTCGAGACAGATGATTTTTAATCTACGAGACGCGGCTTCTCGCACCCTTCCACCCTCATCTGCGCCAGCGTACCTGAGCGAAGTCCATGTAGAAGGAATCTCTGGAGTCGGAACTGCCCTGGCGTAGCCGGAGGCTGAGATCCGGCGAGCTCTCTCCCATCTTCCTTATCTCCTTATCTATCCGTCTCGCTTTTTCACCACTCAACTGCGCTTCCACGTCGCGCCTCTCCTCCGCTTCCTCCTCCTCCTCCTCCTCGTTCTAACCGCTCCTCTTGCGCGCCAGCTCCCCGTGGTCTTTGTCTTCGACGAGCTCCTCGCTCCTTTACGGCCGGGGAATTCTAAAGAGGGTGGGCCCTTGCACATACAATCCACCACCGGGTTTGCAGCCTGAAAGAATCGGCCCTTGAAAGACAGATCGTCTCAACGTCACCTCCTTTTCCTCCTCCTTCTCTTCCTCCTCTTCCACCTGCCTGCCTGCTCTTCGCTTGTGGTAGATAGACAGAGAGAAAGAGAGAGAGAGGGAGAGAGAGAGAGAGAGAGAGAGAGAGGGGGGTGAGCAGGTGGGGCAAAGAGGAAGGGAGAAGGAGCAAGAGAGACCATCCTCGAGAGCGTGCGATGCGAAAATACTCCGATGAAAAGAGTCGGCGATCGCGCTCGCGCGCGGCCCTCTTCACAATGACAACTTTTAAACCCCGGGTGTCTCAAAGGCGTCTCCCTTCACCCCTTAGCGCCCTCGCGGAAAGACACTGGCGCGGAACGCGCGCCGACAGACTGTGATTTTTCCGTCGACGCTTATCGCGCGTTAAATTAGACGCCGAGCGGCCCGGGAAATGTGCCAATAGGTCCTTTTTAACTGACGCTTCGTTGTTCTTCCCTCTTGAGGCTGGCTTGCTTGTTTTGCTGTGAAAGGGCCAAAGGTGCAAAGTAATTCGGTGAAAAAGAACAGGCGATACTCAATCGAAACTTGCTGGAAGAAAAAGAAAGAGAGAGAGAATAAGATCGCAAGAGATGGATCGAAGAGAGCAGCTGAAAGCAACAGACTGTGTTTTTTTTCTTTCCTTTTTTTGGCGAAGAGCTAGTGTACACTTTCGGAACTTGAAGAAAGGAAACAGACTCACTCTTGAGATTTGATGGAAGAAGAAAGAGGGAAAGACAATTAGCGCAAGGTGGCGCAGCGGAAAGAAGGCAGACTGCTAAGGACGACGTCGCGTCGAGTGCGATTAATCGCGATTTGCGGACAAATGTCTCACATCACTGAAAACTTTGGCCCTCTAATTTCGCACGTAAGCCCTCTCGAGTTTCTCTCGCTCCTCAAGTAGACGGAAACGACCGCCCGACCCTTCCCGAGCAACAAATACGATCCGCAAACGGCGCAAATGTCCGAAAAGCGTCTTAGCGGCGCCTCGGAAAGGCGTTTAAAACCTGCAGAATATTCCCTGGACGTAGCTTAGACATACTTCGCTCGAAGACGAAGACAAACAGAGAATATCGCATCTCCCCGGATTTTTTCGACTTGTCGCGTGTTTTACGCAGAGAACTTCATCCGGTTGCTGTCCTCGGGCAACTTCGGGGACGGACTTCGATGCACTTAATTACGTAAGGTGACGAGAGACGAGACGGCGGCTGCAGGGACGTACTTTGTAAAATCGAAACTAATTAGGGAGCCAGGTAGGAAATTAAATCTGGCCGCCTGTTTGTCTTCGACTTAATTATCCCGCGGTGATAATTTCGAGCGAAACTGCGTAACGTAATTATGGCTCGCGACGATCGCCCGCTGGCCACGGAGAAGGTTTTAAGTCGCACGGGACGTGATTATTCATGTAAAAAGCAGCGAACGAGCGAGCAAACGAGAGTCTCCCTCCCCCTCACCCCTCTTCTCCCTCTCTCTCTCTCTCTCTCTCTTTCTCTCTCGCTCTTGCTCTCCGTTTTATCGAGCGATTTTATTAGCAAGTTCGATCGAAACGCGCTGCCGCGAGAGCAACATGCGGAACATATCGCAAGGTAAGCTCCAGTTTATCTTACGAGGACTTGCAAGACTTGCGTACTTAACGGCTTAGTCGTGTTGCCGCCGAGACTTACCGAGGCAAGCTCGTTGCGCGGAGTTGTTGTTGGCGAAGTAACGGGATATCCGTGTCTAAGACGCTGCCTTATGCGCGCGGAATGCATAATTACTCGCTCGCGAAAGTTAATGCAAAGCCCGGCTCGGCGATACAATCTGCGAAACTCGAGCCGCGCTTTGTGCCGCATTCTTGTACGTCATTTCGTATGCTGACAATTGTGGAGCGAGCATTTGCGAACACGTCTAGGGCTTTGTCTCGTGTCTTCAGAACTGTATTTCTCTCGAGAAAGAGGATCGATATATATGTACTCGCTTCTCTTTCTGGTCTTCGACTGCGGAAAAGACTCGCTTCCCTCGCAATATGCACTGTTGGCTTCGACCATTGCAAGATTTTTCTCCGATTGTTTTCGCAAGGTATCTAGGAGAATTAATTTTTTTAATGATACCCAAGAGACCCATTCTGCATTATCGAATGCAGAACGCGCGGCGAAACTCGTCGAAGAAAAGAATTGCAACATTTAGTCAGTTTCGAGAGAAACATAAAAATGCTCTGACTCCAACTGTGAATTTCATTCTTTATTGTAGAAAATTTTTCAGAGTTTTTCCAGATACAGTCATGGATTTCAATTTGAGTTCCCAGATTTGTCCCAAAATTGCTTTGATAATCAATTGAGAATCCTACTCTTGTTCCAAAGATGGATTTCTTATTTAAAATCGAAGTAGAAATATTATGAAAATTGCGCTTTTTTCAACATCGACATTGATACACTTTTATAAAAGAAAATAAATAGGATTTGAAATAATTTAAAGTCTGCGTTGGAAAAATGAATTTGAATGAATTTAATTAATTCGATGTGTAGCTTGTTGGACAAAATCCAGCATTATAATGAAGTAGATTTGTCCGTGCAGCATAAAAATTCTACTTGAAAATGATTATCGATTTACTTTAGACCAACTCAATAGATGTTGTCTCAGTTATTGCAACAGACGATTTTGTTAATGTACCAAATTTCTTTTTAGCACAACAGTAAAATTAGTTACTCATCTTAACGGCAAATTAATTATATATACACATACACATAACAATATACAGAGTGTCCGAGATCTTTTGGGAATGAAGAATTATGAAGATTAATGAAGATGAAACTAAGAGGAAAAGTCAAGTATCATTTTGCAAAAATCGCAATAGTTATTAAGTTATTAATGATTGAAAATTACTACATCCAGAAGTTCTTTTAATTGATAATTTGAAAATTTGCAAAATTTATTTGCAAAATAGTAAGGAATTTTTTTGTTCAGAATGATCTAATCTACAATTATATGACGGCTATTGTGTCTAGCGATAGGTTCAAGATTCAAAGTTCAAAATTCAATATACTCATATTTATCGCTTTATGTCATTCTGAACAAAAAAGTCCTTTACCACTTTGCAAATAAGTACGCAAATTTTTAAATTATCAATTAAAAGAGCTTCTATTTATAAATATAAAATAGTTATAGATTCATTTTCAATTATTAATAACTTAATAACTATTCTATTGATTTCGGCAAAAGATTTCGGCGGTACATGAGTTTTCTTCTCAGTTTAATCTGATTAATCTTCACAATTTTTCGTTTCCAAAATATCTCGGACACTCTATATGTATATACATGTCTTATTGTATATCATAAATTATATTTTTCTACAAAAACACCATCAGGATATAAACTTAACATTTTGCAGTTCGCTGACATTATCATCGCGTCTTTTTCGATGTTCTGCCGATATCATAGTAATACCGTGATGTACATGCATATATTGAATTTAATAGGTACTTTTGTATCAGCATTTATTTTTCAGTCGAAATAATACAACTGAATATGGGTTATAAGTTCTCCTTGCTTAAGTCAAAAAGCCCGACACGGGCTGTCAAATGTCAATAAGTAAAACAGAAAGAGAGAGAGAGAGAGAGAGAGAGAGAGAAAGAGAGAGAGAGAAAGATATATCAAAGTGCGGGGTTTGGATATCTTGGTTCGGGTAAAGCAGTCGCTCGGCAAGAAAAAGGTCCCGGGTTCGATTCCTGGTCTAATCTGTTTATCCAATTTACTTTTTTCTCATCTCTTTTATATAGCTTTTATTACTAATAGATTCAGTAAATCTTATTAATGTACAAACGCACGAAACGGATGAATTCTTCTATGCAGAATTTATGTGTATTATCTGAGTTTATATGGGAATTTACTACTTTATATAATTGAAAAAAAAAAAGGGAGAGAGAAAGAGAGAAATATCGGGTAACTTGGTTGGACGAGCAGTCGCCGAGATTTAATTAAGTGGAGACTTAATTGTCTGTCTTGCTCGATATTTTTCTTCTCACACATAAACAAATTCTTACGTGCTGCAGAGAAATATGCAAACAATTGTTAAACTGCTCATAAAACAAATCTATTTTGTGATAAATATTATCCTAATTATTGCAGCAAATTATTTCATATTTTGAGCTAATTCAAGTTGTAAGACCAATTTATATTAATTTTACTGAAATTATTGAATCGCACTTATTTTATTAAAACGATGAAGGGGATTTGATTCATTTTCTCATCGGGAATTTTCAACATCGGGAAAATCTTGAGCTGCCCATTTAGAATCGCGTATTCAAAAGTATTTCGGAAAATCGAATTAGATCCCAATTAGAAAATTCCCTATGCGGAAACTGGAACCTGCGTAGATCTCAGCAGGGGCCGGACTAGATTCTAATTAGACCCGAAGAAATTTCCCATATGAGTGAGTACTTCGTCGAGATGAATCGTTAAATCCGTCGGGGAAGAAAACAATGCATCGTACCTTCAGAAGACATTTGTCCTCTTATGAGTAATCCAGTGCGGGGCTGGCGAAGAGCTTCCTCGCCCGAAGAGAGAGAGAGAGAGAGAGAGAGAGAGAGAGAAAGAGAGAGAGAGAGAGAGAGGGGGGGGAGAAAGGGAAAGAGACGCAGGAGTTCTAACGTCAATGAACATTCTTCCCGCTCGGGCTCGTCCCTAACGCCATTCCACGAGACGGACCCTCCCGTTTCTCGAACGTTTTATGGTTCGTATACGTGGCATCGAATATTTCTCCATCAAAATGACTCCCCGCGCGCATTAGGGAAACACTGGGCACAGCAGAAGCAGCCTTGGGGTCAGGCGCTAAATTCTGGGCTGGTCGTAGCAAATGCAAGCGGTTTCGCGGCCGCACAGCTCTCGCACGCGGAACAATACCGATCGCGAACTGCCCGGAAGATTGAAAAGGTCTCTCGACTGAAAGGCAAAAGTGCCGATGGCAAGCGTAAGTCGTCGACACACATTAACGATAAATACACGTTAATGCAGATAAAATTATTTAACAAAAGCCCCGAGTAAAAGCCTACGTTTGTTGTCAAGAGGTAAATAATTTATTTAAAGCTCGCTCAACGTACGAACAAAATAAAGGGCCTGCGCTTGTTATTAAAAAATAAATCAATTAGAGCCGTGCTGAGATGTACACAATGAAAATGGTTCGACAAGGGGGCATTAGTAAGAGGCTGTATAGGGATTTTGCAGTGCGACGAAAAGCGAAAATAAACTCGTTTAATCAGATTCGTAAGATTAAACTCGTATACACAAATTCATACACAAATTTCACAGATATTCCGATTATCCTGAATTCATCCTTCTGCTGACTATTCATTAATTTATTTCGTTTTTGTACCAACGGGGCCTGAATTATTTTCTTTTTCGAGCGCCCAGCGATAAACGCAAACGTAATTTCCGCGATGAAATTGCGGATGAATCGAGCGCGTGGATCGAAGGAGAAACTATCGCGACAACAATTTCGCCGAGCGATAAAGTGATTTGTACACATCCGTGAAGCGTGACGATACAAACAGGAAGCATCGTGAAAGCAGCCCCGACGTGACATCGGCACAGTGAGACGGAAGGATCGCCCCTGCACGGATCGATACGCAAATTCTATATCCAGCGCCGTCGATAGCTCGGTCACTCTGCTACAACGGTGTGCAGTTGTTGCTTTCCCAGAATTCCGTAGCAACGATTTTTCCGTCGCGTGCGAGGAAAGCAGCGGCGTATTTCCATGCTCGGAAGCGGTTCATTGCCTTTTTACGCTGGCGATGTCGCGTTCCGACGTTTTATCTAAACTATACGCCTCGCGCCGCCAGATATGCACGCAATGAGGCACGCAACAGGATGAAAAATAAACGTCGGCAAATAATAGAGTCGGAGCTATCGAGCGACATCAAAACGAAAGGAAGAAAAACCATAGCCGCCCCCAACATGGCTCGCGTGCTATTTACAAACAAAGTCTCCGGGCTGACGTCTCGATTTGTACGAAATGTCTCAAGCTGAGTCCTCCGCGAGCCCCCCGGGTGAACGGAAGTCGCAGTTTGAAGCATGCGGGGTTTCTCGAAGATAGGAGACGGGAGCGTAACATTTTTCCAAAACTCAAAAATGGAGGTGATCTTTCTTCGCGCTTTTTTTTTTTAGGCGGAACTCAGGCGGAACGCGAGATTCGTTCGCTCGTTTGAAAAAATTCGCTGGGGGTTGATTTAACCCCATACGCTTCGCGGAAGGTTAGAAATGGCTCAGAGTCGCTTCAAAACTGCGAGCCTACAGCTGCGACGTCGTCCGCCGTATTAATCCGTCGGCGTTCCCGAGATTTCACTTTCACGATTTTGCTTGGCCACCCTTGAGGTCCAGCTCGCCGCTTGAAACGCGCCTGAGAGCGAGCAACGATCAGAGCTCCGCGTGTATGACAATTGGTCGGCGGATTGACCCGCCGAGAATACACTCGCAGATTTCGGCCGTCTATTCCGAGAAGGGCCCGAATACAGTCCGATCGATCTTACGTCGTCGACTTGCTCGATTCTTCGGAAGCGAGCTGTCAACCACCGTAACAAACGACGTCTCGGCGACACGGAGTTGTCGAGGCTTGCCCCGGCAGTGACATAACGCACGCCGACAATTTCCACGCGATTGCATCGTCGGAGATGTCATTAGCGACTCCAACAACAACGCGAGCTCTCCCCAGCAGTTCTTCTTTCCCTCCAATGCTGAAAGTTGCGACTTCCGCGTATCGAACACCGAATACGACTCTCCGACTCTCAAGCTGTCGCTGAAAACAGCGTCGTACGCGACGCGAAACTCCGAGTTCAAAAGGCATACTTGACTTGACGCTCGCTGTGCGGCCGGGAAGGGCCCTCAATGGTCACGCTCGCTGTTCAACGATTGAATGAAGGAACGGAAGAAGCGCACTTACGGGAAGAAACCGAGACACTCATCGTCGGCCGGTGCTCGTCTTCCCGCAGCCTTCGTCGCCGTGCTTCTCCCGAAGGCCGACGCATCCTCCCTCTCACATCGCAGTGGCAGCAGCGACAGCAGCAGCAGCAGCAACAGCAGCAGCAGCAGCAGCAGCAGCAGCAACAGCAGCAGTAGCGGTAGTAACACGCAGCTCGCAGTCCCCCGTTTTCACTTTCATTCGGCTCCTCCTCTCGCACGGCTCGCGGATCCGTCATCTGCCGCCCTCCGCATCCGCTCGGCTCCACTGCGAATCCATATCCCGTAATCGGTGCCTAACGCCACCGCCGCCGCCGCAGCCGCCGCACTATCCGCAGGTTGTAAACACACGCACCGACGCGTCCCTCACGCACACGCGTACCTGAGCGCGGCTCGTACTACCGCCGCTCGGGGGCTGCGTACGAGCCGCGTTACGAAACTTCCGGTGAGCCTCTTTGGCCGCCCGGCAGGGAGGAAGGCCGCGAAAACGTGCGCGCGCGCGCGCGCGCACCCGGAACTTTCTGTTTTCTTCCGTTGACCTCTCCGCGCGCTGGAACTCCCGTTGCAACTCTCCGGAAAAAAAGGTGTCGTGAAACTTGTTGAGCGAATCGAGCGGGAAACGGGAAAGATAGAGAGAGAGAGAGAGAGAGAGAGAGAGAGAGAGAGAGAGAGAGAGATGGGGGGAAGAGAGGGGGGAAGGGAGGGAGAGGGAGAGAGAACGTGAAACACGGCGGAGCGGCGGGAGTAATGAAGGGAAAGAAAGAGAGAGAGAGAGAGAGAGAGAGAGAGAGAGAGAGAAAGAGCGTTTTCCCAAAATCAAACTCGACGGATGGAGCGCGATCAATCGTGGCGCGCAGTAACGAGACACGGGGACACTTGGGCACCTCCCGAGGGGCGCGCCACGCGAGGCATCGACATCCTGCGAGGGTCGCCGGGCTGCTGGCGATAGCCCGGGCGTCGAGACGGGAGCACCCGCGCCGCGACGCCGCCACCCGTCGCACGCCGCTGCGCCGCACGACTCCGTTGCATCGCGGCGCAAGCCCGTAGCGAGGGGGTGGACCGTCGCCTCCGGGGGGACGAAAACAGCCCGTCGATATGTGTTTCTTTTTTCCGCCTTGTTTTACCCTTCGCGGACTTTCGGCATGCCGTGTGAGGAATTTTCGTCGTTCACCCGCTTGTATCTTTTGGGAGCAGAGACTGACGGAGCGCTGCGTGGGTAGTGCTGAGGACGTTGGCGAAAAAGATTTCCTATTTTTGTTGAAATATGACGATATGTTCTTTTTTCTTTTTTAATATTGATTTAAGGATGATCATTCTTGGAAGGAAGTTCTCGGAGAGAAACCGACGTGATTGGCGACACGCGAGAAATCCGGCGAGATGTGCGCCGGAGGAGAACTGCGATTATTTAATTATCCGGTGATGAAAGTTGCGAGGATACGCTTGGGGCGTGCTACAGCCCTTGTGAAATCGGAGCTGCGCGCATGCGCCTTGCGGACTAGTCATTAGGAAGTAAGGGTGGCTTATGTTGAAAGTTCTCGTGCGCGTAAAGAGAAGCCGACGTAATTAATGAGGCGTAAGAAGCGGCGAGGATGCGCGGTAAGGTAGAACGGCGAGATTCCACGAGGAATGCCGGGAGAGCGAGAAATAATTTAACGATGAGATGAGAGTTTGCGGGAATGTTTGTTCGTTCGCGCTCAACTCGCATCGCGATCAGGCGCGACGGATTGGAAGGGCGAAAGTTCTACACTTTTCTCAGAGTGTGGGTCTTTTTATTTTCGCTTTTCCAAGATAACAAACGCGCCATGCTGAATAATAGACACTGTGTGGGTATTCTAATGTAAAAGATACAACTAGATAGTAAGTATAAGAATGTAAATTGAAGTCACTGTATGGCTTGAACCGCGGAAATAGGAAAATAAATCCGTTGAGGGCTACAGGTGGCTCTAATTTACACTAGTAAAATAACATAAAATAATATTGTATACTCACGTGTAACATTATGCAACTGTAATATCTATATTACATACAAACATATCATGTAATACCGAATTATCGCTGGCTGTATATAATATATGTATTAATATACGTGTATGTATAGAGATACGTATTAGTACAACATTCTTATTGTGTTATGCAACGGTAAAACTACACTTGTATAATAAATTTGCGTTGATCCTCGTCAGTCTCATGCTAAATTCTCGCGCATCCGCCTCCTTCGCACCAATTGCTCGACATTGGGGTCTTTATTATGTTCTCTGGTATGTGAATTAGTTTCCGACACACTTCTGCCAAGCCAATCCTCCGCATGCTATAGAGACAATTACATATATCGTAACCTGTACAAAAAGAAATGCATACCAATTAGATCGCAGTGAAAATGTCGAACAGTTAAATCTAATGTTAATCTCGATAATGTTAAACTTACGATCAAGATAGCACCAACAATAACATAGATCTTGACATTCTTCCAAAATAAAGAGCGCGCTAAATTCCTACTAGTCTTCCTGAATGTGACGGACTGAAACCAAAATCGATCGTTAGTGAAACGAACGATGATTAATTACAAACATCAGCAACAACCATATTTTTGCATACATTAGCTGACAAGTTTTCCGTTTTGTGTACAAGAAGTTCTAATCGTTCACCTCGCATTGCTATATTGTCAATATTTTTTACCATGATATCCTTGAGCTCATCTAGCTCACCGTGAACTTTGGACAATCTATCAAGATCCTTTGACTCACTATAATGTTTCTACATAAAAAGAGAGAGAAAAACATGAAATATGGTGATAAGATAGATCTACTTTAGATAGAGCAACTTTTCTAAGCCATATTGTTTCTTACTGCTAACATTACCATTTCGTTAGCTAACACACGACTAAATTCTGTGTTCATGGCATATGCCATGGCAGTTTGAGCACCCTGTCCATAAACAGCTAAAAACCTTCTCTTAATTTCATTGAGATATAAAAATGCTCTGGATCTTTGAAAGTCCTGCAAAACATCTTATTACAAAGAACTCTTTTTAATATCTCTCTCTTGATATACTAGATACATACATCATCGGTAATACACATATAAATCAGATAATCCTCGCAGATGTAGTGAAAAAGGTAAGGCCCCTGCGAGTAAGTAAGTTTGTCGTTGTGCGGTGGGATTTTCGTCAGGATTTTTTCTGTAACTTCCTCAAAATTTCCTGTACAAGCGGCATGTTTCGCCAGTATAATTGGCCCACGAGCTACCACGCTAAATAAAATCGGCATATTGGTAGCTGCAAGTAAAGAAAGTTATTTAAAGTAAAATGTATTCATTATATGTAAAAATGATTTCATTATATTTTTCCTATATAATATCTGTGTATAATTTCTACTGATATTTTGAGACAACTATTTTTATCATAAATCGTTACATTATTTACGATATAATATTCTCAGTGGGAGTATTTTATTATCTTTTATCATATCACAACTGAAAACATGGGTACCATACTTTAAGAGTACGCACAGCAAATGTCTATTTGACTTTGAAGCCAATTTCTAGTTTACAAAATGTTTGTTAAATACAGGTAATCAATAATGCTATAATTTAACGACGACGTCCGTAAAAAATTACTAGTTTCCACACATACACGCACACAATAAGTGTATGCACGCACGTTATTGAAGGCATTATCTTAACCTCTCGATAACCAACTCGACGAAATGTCGAAATAAATTCTAACTCAAATCTGTGTAAATTTTAAACATGTCGAATCTGTCTAAACATTGCATGAAAAGCTCCATTAAAATCTATTTGGCAAGGAGATAAATCATCAATAAACACATTGACACTTGACATATATTACCTCGATATAAAACAAAGAATTATCGAACACTAGCTGCGCACTTTGCTCCTTACGTCCTTCACAATGTATGATTATCCTTGGAATTCACACTTATCCCACATCCATTCGAAGACAACAATCAGTCGTTCGATCTGTTGTTCCCTGTTGGGAACTTCTGCGAAAACATCGAAACACTCCCGCGATTAGACAGCCACACTCTTCCTGAAATCATCGATAAGTGTAGATACGTCAGTGTTAAATTTCGCACACGCGCGATGACAATAATAGCGACCGTAAACTTCACAATATGCTAGAAAGTATACGCATTCTAGAAATAGTCGAGTCGCAACGGGTATTGCATATTCTGTCACTCTAACGTGTTGCGCTTTGCTCGTAAGAATTCGCAGAGGGCGCTAGCGCGCAACGAAAGTTCGTTCTCTTTCCGTTCCATCCAGTTTCATCTTTTATCAAATGGTCTTTAATCAATTTTTCTTTTTATATTATAAAAGTGTTAGAAACTGACAAATATATGAGAATATTGTTGTACAGTGAACAGTGTTGTCTTTTAGCACTGACAGATAATATTTAGAGACTAAAATTTTGTTAAAATTTAATATCCTCCTGTCGGTAAATTTGTATCAAATCAGCATAGATGATAATTATAGTGCATTGTAATTTCATATAAAAATATTTAATATACCCAATTGTAGATCTATTTACATAACAATGAATCATCGAAATAATTGTTAAATTGTAAAACATATTTCATTACATATATTGAATGTCTAAATATTTATATCAAATGATTAAAAATGATCAATAATGGTATACGTTTTACCAATTCTCTACGAGTTCTTCGGAACATTTAATGTTATCTCGTCGATGATATTAGGTTGTATTTGACAAATAAATAATAACATATCAAAAGTTACATATGTTAAGAGTCAGATCACATGATTATTTACATTAAAGTGCTGTTCTCTTCAATATTACATATCTATTTTATTCTAAAGAAAGAAAATGCAGTCTAATTTAATTTAAAAAATTAGAAAGTGGAAAGGATGTAGAACTCCGTTTCATTTAAAATTTACTCATTCATATACAAATCATACTGATTTGTATTTGATTTATATGTGTAAATATAAATAAAATTTATAATGTAAGCATAGTCTGAAAAATTTGAAAATGCTAAACAAACAGTACAAACAAAATAAACAAAATATAAAATAAATATAAATAACAAATATTTGTAATTTTAATAAAATAAAATATGAAGCTCTATTTTCTTGATAAGAAAATGATAAATACACACAGATAATACACATACTATATATATTCTAAATGATATAGTGCCTATTTTCCATTCATCTCATCGTTCTCAGGCTAGTCAGTAAATAAAAATTAGTGAGACTCATTTTAATATCCTATATAAAGCTCACGGTTGCTACTGAGCTGCATTCTGATATCCGCTATCAGTACTGGAGATCTCATAACACGAGATATTGTACACAATTCGAAATTATATACTATAGATTAACACTATAGATTTTCAATATTGGCAATAGATATTAGCAGAAAGGAACGTGAGAGCGGCCAACACGGTGTTTTCAACGACCGGACTTTACGCACTGGGAAAGGACGTCATCTGCATCTATTTTGAGAGGGGAACTACGATGCTACATCCACTTTCAGGTTTCGGCGGTAAAACCTGTATAGTGGCAGTTCACGCTACATCCATTTTTAGCCGGTTTATGTCCGTGCCACAACCATAATAGCATACTTGACAAGCACATTGGTCTCGCACATTGTTATGCGTTTATAACATGAATTAACATGTTAACCTGTGCAAAAAAAAAAGAATTGACATTGCATATGATTAATTTCATGAAAATCATACGAAGTGTCCGGTAATTAGCTGCCAACTCGAAGTGTGAGGGTAGATTGGGTTAAGACAAACATAAAAGTCCCATACCATTTTGCGAGATTCGCAATAATTATCGAGTTATTAATGACAGAAATCTGAGGAGTAAAAGCACGTCGACATAGATGATTCGAAAAGCGTTGCAGCTGTCCGAGGCAGCGATCATCAATCTTTTCCCTAGCGTGAACTAATAAAAAGTGAAAGACTTCTGTGAATCAGTGAAGAATGAAAAATTTTATATGAATTTGTGAAAATCGAAATATTTCACACGACAATTGAGTCGTTCAACATGGCAGTTGCGCGTTCTGGATAATTCAATGAATATCAAAGAAATCAAAATGATCAAAATAATAATGTCTGTGTAATCCGAAGGATATTACGTGACACGCAAAATCCGTTTGATATAATATCCAAAGGAAATGTTTCAAAATATATATGTACAGGTAATATAAACCTTATGCACCGACGAGATATACTACAAAGTCTGATGGCCTTACAGGATTTAGAGTACCAGAGAAATTTCCCTGGTGAAGCACCCGGGCGAAAGAGACCGTCTCGCATTTAGGACAGTAAAATTTAATGGAAACTAATACTTTTCAATCCTTTTCTTCGGATCAAAAAGATTCAGAATTCAGACATATTCGAAATGTCAATACTTTTTAATACGTTTCAAGTCGACATTTTATACAGGAAAGCAGGACAAAGGGAATGGGATGGGGGCAACGATACATCATGCGTCTCCAGACGTGTCAAATCGTTTATTATAGAGGAGACTTTGATACGGCAACATGTATTCGAATATTTAATCGTCCCATGGACCACTTATATATGATAAAAAAAAATTAACGCGTATAAATGAACGATTCGTATCAATTTTTCCTTTTCTTATAGAGCAATGAAAGAGTAAATCAGTATCAAAAATCGAATACCGATAAATACCATAAATCAGTGTCAGAAAATTGCACACGTGCAATGACAATTTTCAGGTATTTACCCTTCTAAACTTATTCAACAAATTAACTCGGATAAACGAACGATTCGTATCAATTATTTTTGACTTATAAAACAATGAGAAAATAAATCAGTACTAAAAATCGAAGACCGTTCAATATCTAATTTTTTCATCAAATTAACAATTTCTATCAGCAGATAAATGAACAATTTCTATCAATATTTTTTTCTTTTATAGAGAAATCGAAGACTAAATCAGTATCGAAAACCGGATATTGATCAATACTATAAACGAGCGTTAGAAAATTGTCTAAGTGCAATGACAAGTTGTTTTCATTTTGCAGGTTACTTACCCCACTAATTTACTCAACAAATTAAGTCGGATAAAAGAACGATTCGTATCAATTTTTATTCTCTTATAAAGAAGTTAGAGAATCAGTCAGTACCGAAAATTGAAGACCGATCAATATTTAATTTAATTATTATCAAATTAACGCGAATAAGTGAACGATTTGTATGAATTTTTTTTCTTATAGAGAAATGAAAGAGTAAATCAGTATCGAAATCGAATATCGATCAATACCAGAAATCAATGTCAGAAGATTGTCCAAGTGCAATGACAATTTGTTCTCATTTTTCAGGTACTTACCCCTCTAATCTTATTCAACAAATTAACTCGGATAAATGAACGATTCGTATCAATTTTTTTGTCTTTTAAATAAATGAGAAAATATATCAGTATCGAAAACCGAAGACTGATCAATACCATAAATCAATATCAAGAAAATTGTCCAAGTGCAATGACAAGTTGTTTTCATCTTGCAGATACTTACCCCACTAATTTACTTAATAAATTAAGTCGGATAAAAGAACGATTCGTATCAATTTTTATTCTCTTATAAAGAAATTAGAGAATCAGTCAGTACCGAAAATTGAAGACCGATCAATATGTAATTTAATTATTATCAAATTAACGCGAATAAATGAACGATTTGTATGAATTTTTTTTCTTATAGAGAAATGAAAAAGTAAATCAGTATCGAAAATCGAATATCGATCAATACCAGAAATCAATGTCAGAAGATTGTCCAAGTGCAATGACAATTTGTTCTCATTTTTCAGGTACTTACCCCTCTAATCTTATTCAACAAATTAACTCGGATAAATGAACGATTCGTATCAATTTTTTTGTCTTTTAAATAAATGAGAAAATATATCAGTATCGAAAACCGAAGACTGATCAATACCATAAATCAATATCAAGAAAATTGTCCAAGTGCAATGACAAGTTGTTTTCATCTTGCAGGTACTTACCCCACTAATTTACTCAATAAATTAAGTCGGATAAAAGAACGATTCGTATCAATTTTTATTCTCTTATAAAGAAATTAGAGAATCAGTCAGTACCGAAAATTGAAGACTGATCAATATTTAATTTATTCATCAAATTAACGCGGATGAATGAACGATTCGTATGAATTTGTTTTTCGTATAGAGAAATGAAAGAGTAAATTAGTTCCGAAAATCGAATATCGATCAATACCGTAAATCAGAGTCAGAAAATTGTCCAAGTGCAATGATAATTTGTTCTTATTTTTCAGGTATTTATCCCTCTAGTTTACTCAACAAATTAACTCAAATAAACGAATGATTCGTATCAATTTTTCTTGTCTTATAAAGAAATGAGAGAATAAATCAGTACCGAAAATTGAAGACCGATCAATACTTAATTTAATCATCAAATTAACGCGGATAAATGAACGATTCGTATGAATTTTTTTTCTTATAGAGAAATGAAAGAGTAAATCAGTACCGAACATCGAATATCGATTAACACTATAAATCAGTGTCAAAAAATTGTCCAAGTGCAATGACAATTTGTTCTCATTTTTCAGGTACTTACCCCTCTAACCTTATTCAACAAACTAACTTGGATAAACGAACGATTCGTATCAATTTTTTTGTCTTATAAAGAAATGAGAAAATAAATCAGTACCGAAAACCGAAGACTGATCAATACCACAAATCAATGTCACGAAAATTGTCCAAGTGCAATGACAAGTTGTTTTCATCTTGCAGGTACTACTTACCCCACTAATTTACTCAACAAATTAAGTCGGATAGAAGAACGATTCGTATCAATTTTTATTCTTTTATAAAGAAATTAGAGAATCTGTACCGAAAATTGAAGACCGATCAATATTTTATTTATTCATCAAATTAACGCGGATAAATGAACGATTCGTTTGAATTTTTTTTTTCTTATAGAAAAATGAAAGAGTAAATCAGTACCGAAAAGCGAATATCGATCAACACCGTAAATCAGTGTTAGAAAATTGTCCAAGTACAATGACAATTTATTCTCATTTTTCAGGTATTTATCCCTCTAATTTACTGAACAAAT